CGGACTTGGCTGAGCTCCGGCGTTGAAAAACACGCGGTTGCGTTCTGCATGCAATGCAAACACCGGAGGAACGTTGCAAGGAAGGGGCTGGTAAATAAAGCGATCCATCTGGGTTGCAGCTTGGGCTCATTTGTCTTGCATGTAGGCAGTCGAGCGCAGGTTTTTAAGCATGACAATCTGGCTTGGAAGCCACTGCCAAGGAGGCTCCCGTGCCTCCCAAAGACGGGAAGACTAGGAGACGGCTCCGCTCCACGCACGCTCTGCACGGAGGAGGGGGCAGTTGTCGGCACCTTTGGCTGGACGGCCACCGTCAGTATTTACTGGCCGTGGGGATGCTCCTCTGCACGGGCGGCTGCTGTTCGTCTCGCCGGGGGGGGGGGGCGGACAGGAGGGTGGGGAGAGGGTTTACGCTCCTCGGGGGAGCGAGCCGCAGGCCTTATCGGCGGCTGGTTTGCTGATGCTGCCTTGCTGTTTTCTTTGTCTGTCTTCCACTGCCTTTCCTGGGTGTGTAAATAAAGAAGGGCTTTGTAACCACACAGCTCTGACTCGGTAGCCCAGGGTGGCTTGGCGTGCCTTCCTCCGGCCGTGCCAGAACTAAAGACACGTTCGTGGGGCGACGGCATGATGCGGACGTGGTCTCTGCCCTATTGCTGGACTAAAAATGGGTCAGCTCTTTAACCCTGCGCCTGCCCGAGGCCATCCGGAATAAAACGTTTCTTTCAGCCTGGATATGCCGTCTGTTTGCAACGACCGTTTAAATGTTCCTAAGAATGCGTTTGCTCAAAAAAAAAAACAACAACCAAACAACTTCCTGACGTTGTACTTAAGCAGATTTTTCTGGATGTTTCTGCTTAATGCCAGTTTTTGTAGAGATTGTTGCCACACTTCTTTCAAAAGGGGTTTTGACGACCTGTACCTCTTCTGGTTTTTGATAGCATGTGGCAGTACTTCTGTCTCGAATGCAGGGGCTCCCTGTGTCCGGAAAGTTAACGTTTCCTCCTGTGGTTGAGGGAGACGGGATTTTAGCAGAATCCGGAGGCTGCGAGTGTAGCGCAGGCTGTAAGTCTGCAGCGTTTGCTGCAGCTGGAATTCGGCCAGTAAGTAAACACTTACGCAGTGGTTTGAGAGCACAAGCAAAGCTGGACGTGCAATCCGTATCTCTTCTGAGAAATTGGATGCTACGTGGAAAGGGAGGGGGGAAAAAAGAAAAAAAAAAAAAAAGTTGTGTTTGTTTCTCCCGGGAATATTGTGTGCTGTTCTCCGTGGCACAAACCCACCGGCACTAAATAAAGAGCCTGTTTGGAAACCTGCAATGAAGGAGAGACCCTAGGTGGAATGTTGTAATTATGAGTGGTATGCACTTGTTTAAGTTCCATAAATCAGTTGCTTTCCTGGAGATTTAATTGCATGCTGCAGCTAGCAGCTGCTGTTGTGGTTAATGGGGAGCTGCACCACGGGACGCTTTGAAGGTCGTCCAGCGCTGGCTTGGACGCTTTGGTGGGCTTGGCTTCGAGGGGAGCGTGCTGGTGAAAAAGGGTGTTTTTTGCATTCGTGGCAGGCATTTTTTGAGGGGAAAATACCGCGGGGCTTCAATCAGAACTTTGGTAACTGCGTCGCGAGGGAGCTTGTCGGCTGGGGCACACGTCGGTGCGTGGTAGCTGGCCCACGTCGCTCCGAGATGAGCTGGCGTTTGCGGTTGAGCCATGGGCTGAATTTAGATATTCCAGTTCTTAATTGGCAAGTGCAGAAAGAGCCCTGGCTGCAAGTGCTGCGGGTGCAGGCTGGCTCCTCTAACGACCCTTGCCTGCACGTGACTGGTGTCCGCCTGGTTTCTCCCAGCCTTTTCTGCCATAACAACAGTTTTTCTCCTTCCTCGTGTACTCGTTGCCTCTTGAACTTGTTGTCTTTCCTGCTCTGTTGCACATCGGGTTCTCGCCTTAAGTCTTTGTGTGGCAGTGGAGGTGGACGTTAGGGAGCACTGCAGTGTGCGCTGTGCGGTGCTGCATGGGACTCTTGAAAACCTGGCTTTCGGGTCAATCTGATTCACCCGTTCCAAATATATTAAAGCGAGTGATAAAAATACATGGGGAGCCGCGGTGGTTCTCGTAATTGATGCCGAACTCCTACCACGTGCTCACCCACCCTATGCGGTCGGTGGCTTTCTTGTTGTATTTAAAACACTCGACTGGATTGTGCCAGGAACTTTTATTGGCCTGCACGCCTAGTTATTTTCAATCGACGATGTCCCTTCGCAGGGTTGGGCCAGCGTGCTATTTTTACCCTATGGTTTGGCTTTAATTGATTACGTTCTTCTGTGGTTTCAAAACTTGAGTATTAAAAACATTCTGACCTTCCTGAATTCTCAAGGTGAACCTATTCTAAGACTTGAGACCCCGTTAAGATGCTGGTGTAAAGGATCAAAGTGTGACACTTAAGCACACCGTGTTGCTCAGAAACGTAAAACTTCCCGTGGGCTGTAGCTTAACTGAAAAAAATCTCTTTAGTTTTGATTTTTCGTTTTTTTTTTTTTTTTTTTTTTTTTTTTTTTTTGTCACTGGAAATGCTGGCAGCTTCTCGGCGTTTTCCGTTTGCCGACAGTCGCACGTGTAGGTGCTGCCTTCTGGCGGGTTCGTGATGGGCTTGGCTCGGTTTTTTCCTTCTGAAGTAGCGCTGCCTATTTTTGTGGGTCCCGCCTAAACAGTGAAGTCCGTGTCGCCCCCTCCCCTCCTCTTAGTGGCAATGCCAGTCCAGTGCAAATACCGGAGAGAAAATGGGCTCTGAAGAGCACGCGGTGGCGAGCACTTTTTAAAACCCAGGTGTCTGTTTTTGGCAGCGGGAAATGGTTGTGTTAGAAACTTACTTACTTTCTCTGCCAAGGCCGGCTCTGAAGCTTGCCCTAAGCAGTTAGGTTACTGGCTCGATTCTTCAGTAGGACGGCAAAGCTGCGGCGCTTGTATGATGGGGGCTAGGCGATGGAAACGATGGTGGACAGCGATCTCTACCTGCGGAGCAGCGAATGGAGCCGTCGGAGCCAAGGCTGCCCACGGGACCGGCGCTGCCTCCTAAAGTTATGCTTGGGCTTGGCAAGAGCCGGGTATGTAAAGCCCTGGGTTCAGGTTACGGCTGCGAATGAACCTCTTTGATCTCGTTGAGCCCTTTTTTAGCAGTGTTAGTAAGCGCCTGACTCTGATTTATAATCTCTTCAAAGGTCTGCTTCCAGAATGGAAATGTCAGTGTATTCCCCGAGCCGTCAGCAGGTCTCTCAAGTCGGTTTTCTCTGGGGTGGACTCCGGCGGCGGTGCTCTCCCGTTCACAAAGATGTACTCAAGGGCTAATCCAAAACACGACGCCTCTTGTGAGCTTGGACCTAAGATGTCTCAAAATTTGGTGCGGGAACACGCCTTTTTGTTAGCGCAGCGACGCTGCCGGTAGCTACGATCCCTTCGTGGACAGCACGAGAGCCAGTCGGGACTTGGCAAGCCCCAGCGGGAGAGGTCTGAGCGCCCTCGCCGCCAGGGGTGGGCGGCTGGATGGGGCCCTCGGTACCACCAGCCTGCGCGACGCCTCCGCCTGGGAGGCGGGTGTGCCCCAGGCCCCTCCATCCACTTTATTCCGTATCCCTTCTCCGAAGCGTGACAGGGAAGGAAGACATATCAAGCGGCGAAGTGATGCTCCCCTCCCTCCCCTGCTCCCCACCGTGCAGTAATGGAAGTAGGAGCCGGAGTCTGCCGCATCAGAAGAGGGATCAGAGTAATCGGATCAAGCATGAGAAACCGCTTGTTGCCGCTTTTCTGTTTTTTAAATGAGGCTGCCTGGCAGCTTCCCTCGCAGAACTCTTAAATATGTTAAGCTTTGGAGCCGGGGTTACAGCAAAGTAGGGCTCTGCTGAAATGGGGCTAGGAAGAAAACTTTCTTTGCGCGGCCTGAGCATTACGTGTAGCCTCTGGGCTAATTTGCACAAATAATGGTGTCTCATACCCGCCCAGCCCTTACTTTGTCGCCGAGAAGCCGAACGTTTGTCCATCACTGAATTGCAGAGAGCGCACTCTCGCTTGGCGCACTTCATCGCGGTAATGCTTTTCGGAGGTGCGGTCCGTGACGCTGATAGATCTGCGACCTTGAGAAAGCGCGGTGGCTTTCTGGAAAGCCGTTCCCCACCCCGGCTGCCCTGGTGTGGCACGGGGTAACGTTGGGGCAACAGCTGCCCTTTGTCCGCTGGAAGGTGTTGAAACGGAACGGCTGGATCAGGCCCCGGGGGGGTGGGGGAAGCTGCTGGCTCTGGTTTATGGCTCCACTGCAAAGACTTCTCCTCGTTACGCGGGCTGTTTCTGCGCCGGCCGGAGGCGCGTGGACGTCCACCCCAGTCCTTAACGTTTGCGGTGCTCTGCAGCATCAAGACAGTCACTTACCCCCACAGCCGCAAAGCTGCGGTGCCTTTGGTTACACGGTCACGTTTGCTCAGGCATTTTGCATGGATTAGCTCAATTGGTTGAGGTTTGTAGAAGAACGGCAAGTATCGTTTTCTTTGCTTTCCTGAAGCGGAAGGTGATGTCGAACTTGGTGCTGGGCGCTGCAGATACGGTGGCTTGCTTTCAGGGGTGCTGCTCTAAAAGATGCCAGTCGGGTCTTTTACAACGCTGATGCAGTGAGGTTGATGTTGGACAAACCCAAGTCGCTTAAGCGTACAGGACAAACGCAGAAACCCTCTGTCGCTCCATGGAGTTGGCTTATGAGGATGGCCAGCTAATTCTAACTGGTTTCGTTGTGAGGGAGGCCTGAGATATTCGCATTTAGAGAACTGTTGCTGTACCTTGGTTTGTTTTGGATTGACGCGCTAAGCGATTTTGCTTGAAAACATGATTTGAGCTCTCTGTCTGCGCTCCCATCGCCTGCCCCTTCGATGTCTTTATCCACAGTAGCTAACGTTGGACGTAGGTTATGGGGTTGGGAGCTCAGTAGAAGCAGGGAAGCTCCGAAGAGTTGCCCCTCCTGCTTTCCCCGGTCTGTATAAAATTAGGCGCTATTTTGAGCTGACGTGAGGATAGGCAGTGCCACGCACTGCATGAGCTCTTTTTAACAAGGAAGAGTGCCGCGTTCTCTTAGGTGTCAGCAGCTCTTTAAAAGCATTGGCTTTTCCTGCCTTTCTTGGGGGGAAGGCTTCTGGATAACTTGGTAACGTTGCTTGGCGCTGAGATCCCCAGCGACGGCGTTTTTCCTTCTCGTTTCCTGATGACAGCCTGACTGGGCTTCGTGGCGTTGGGTTGGAAAGCCGGCTGAACAAACATCAGGACGGTGAATGCTTGTCATCAGGGGAGCGTCAGCTTTGTCAAACGGAGCTTGTGGAGGACGGTTTGGGTTCGTTGGGACGGTTCGGAGCAAGCCTGCTTTTCCGGGACGGGTGCAGCAGGAAGGAAACAAAGCGAAACCCCCGCTTGCCACGTGAAGCGCTTCCAAGGTGTCGGGGAGAATCTAGGTCAGTTTGACAGCAGCTCTAGTTCTCTAGGCAGATGAATTTTTCTGCCACCCTCCTTTTTTACCATGCTGTGCAGAGTCCGGAGAAGCTACGTGCGCTTCCTTAGGGCCTGTCGGCCGACGGGGGCCCAAATTAAATTGATGTGCGGGAGCGTTTTGATTTGCAGTTGAGCAGTGGGCGTAGGCGCCCTGCTGAGCCAGCCGGTATTTCCTTGGCTCTTCCGCAAACTAATCCCCGGCGCCTTGCTTCTCCTGGACGCGGGTAGCGGAGCAGAGGAGGATGCCCGTGCTCAGTGCCTGCCGGTGGACGAGGGGGAAGCGGAGAACCGCGGACGGAGCAGGGTGGTTTGTCAGGCTGCGTGCCGTCCCTACCCGTGCCGTATCGGTGCAGCACGCTCCTAGTCCCTGGATCTTGTAGATGCTTACAGCGACTCACGGTAGGGATGAGGCGAGACCCACTGAACTTGCTCCTGCTTCTTGTCCGTAGTCGCCATTGAAGCGCGGATGCACGGAAAGATTTTTCTGGGTGTGTAAAAACCGAGTGTAATTTCTCCTTTTTCACTTAACTTTTCACTTCCGACCTTCGTTTCTGAACAGTTTACCGTCTGCTCAAAACGAAGACTTGCGCTGTGTCGCTGGGAGAGCGTATCTGTAGTGTCGTGATACACGGCTGCTTTGTCTGCCGCATAGCAGTTAAGGACCGTTTTTCCTCCTCCTTGCTCAGCTTCTGGTCTGAAAGTGGCTCCGAAAGAGGCATTACTCGTTAACCTAGTAGGCAGAGCTACTAAAAGTGACTCCCACGCTGAGGTTTTCGAGCTCCGTCCACATACAGCTTCTGGTTCGATTTAAAGGTCTTACACTCTTAATCGTTCATATAATCT